GGCTTAAGAAGAAAAAGAAGTGAATATTTGTGTAATCTTCAGTTTAACATCCCTTCTAACCAACAAATTCCTTATGCATATACAGTTAAGGAACACACTCTGGGCAGAGTTCACCCTTGTTTCTAGAACAAGATGAAAGCTACCCAATTTTTCTTTCTCTACTAGCAGGTCCTGCTCTCTGGAGCATTTCTTGGCCCTTTGAGTTGCAACGTTTTTTTTTTTTTTTTTTAATTATGTCAACTGTGAAAGATTGCTGAAGTTAATAATCCGGTAAAGTTTGGATTTCCTTTCCTTCTGAAGACAAGGCAAACGTTTTGGTCTTGCTGAAATTGGATGGATAGACCATTCTTATGATATGCTTTTAAGAAACCCATTTTCAAGGTAGTTTCTCTTTTCAACTCTCCAAAACTCTCCCAACAAACGTTTTGTTTTTTTTTCTAGATCTTTTATGTTTTGTTGTTTTGTTATTGAAAATATACACATTAAAACATAAACTAATTCAACAATTTCTACATGTACAATTTCCTGACAATGATTACCTTTTCCCAATTATGCAGCATTCTCACCCTCCTGTTTTGAATTATGCCACCCTCATTAACATAAAACTCACTGCCTCCTAAGGTTCCTATCTAAACTTTTAAATTGCTATTGTCAATATGATCCCAAATATGTAGTTCTTAAAAAAGCACAATGCTCAAAGCAGACCTTTTTCACTCCAAAAAAAACCAAATTCACTGCCATAGAGTCGATTTGACTCATAGTGACCCCTCTTTGGGTTTTTGAGGCAGTATCTCTACAGAAATAGATTGCCCAACCTTCTTTCTGAGGAGTGGCTGATGGGTTTGAACCTCTGGTTAGCAGTCAAATGCCTTAGGCACTACATCCCCAAAGCTCCTTTTTCACTAGTTAAGCTAAACTATTGTTCTGTTCGGTTTTAAGGTGACTTCAGAGGATGTTCATCACACAGTGCCTGGAGTCTTCTAAGCTTGTCAGCAGCCATCCAAGGCACAACAGAGCAACAGAGGAAGGGGAGTCAGGAAGAGGAGGAGGACATGGAATCTGTGCCTAATTTCCTCTACAAACCACTGCCTCCTTTGCAATGAGACCATAACTGGATGGTGCCTGGCTACCATTAATAAACATTTTGATCAAAGTTTCCATAGACAAATCCTGATCAAAAGGGGGGAAATATAGAACAGAATTTCAAATTCTCATAGACTCTAGACTTTCTGGAGCCATGGAGGGTGGATGAACCACTGACGCTACTACCCTGAGATAATCCTTAAACCTTAATTGATTTTTTTGTTGTCAAAGCATTATAAAATACAGAATTTTTTTGTAAAAACTTTCAGCCATATTTTTGTCACCCAGCAAAATATTTTTATTTTTTACATGTTCTTTTATAGTTTTATTCAAATGCATATTATTGCATAGCTAATTTTAAAGAAAAATATAATTGTCACTCTTTAATATCCTGCTCAAAAGAAGGTTGTGTATATTTTCAAGTCTATAATAATTTCAATTGAAGTGACATAATTAATTAACAGACTCTCTTGCTGTAAGAAGTTTAAATTGCTTTAAAGTGTTTGTCAGCATACAAAATGTTTCAATTAATCTCTTTGTATTTATAGGTTCTTTTGAATTACTTAAGATAAATTCCCAGTGGCACAATTGCTAAGTCAAGGAGTGTGACTATTTTGATGACATTTGATCACCAAAATATTTAAACAAATAATATCTAACCAAAAAAATGAACCATACCAATTACAATGTCACCATAAGCATATCAATTCCACTACAATCTTAACAGCATTGGATATTATCTCTACAGAAACAAATTTCTAATAAATTTAATAAGTATAAACTTAACTTTTTCTTGTTTATTCTCTAGTACAGCTGAATCTTTTCCATTTATTTGTTTGCCATTTTAAAAAATAAATTACCTCTTTGTGGACTTAATTTATCTATTAAATTATTGATGTTATTTGTAAATATGATTTACAAATTTATTTAAGTGGCATAGCCTTAAACACATATCTGTAGTATCTGATGGAACTATGCCAAAAGAATTATTTTCTTTTTATATTTATTTCGTTCATTTATTTTGCAGTGATTCTAAAATTTTATATGATTGTTACAAGGCCCCTGATCTTTTCCTTCTTCTGCAGTTATTCTCCCACCTTCCACAAAGAATGGCACATGCATGTCTGACTTCATTGATCACATCCAAGTCTCCATTTTTCATGTGTAAAATTTAGTGACAGCAACTATAGTAATGTTAAGCAATGATTACAAATATCTATTGCTAAATTGCCTATCACAATAAATGGAATTGCAATACTTATTAAACAATGAATACCCCTCCCTTCTGCCCCTGGTAACCACTAATAATCTTTGGTCTTTATACATTTGCCTATTCTTGATATTTCATGAGTGAGATCATACAATATTTGTCCTTTTGACTAACTTTACTCAGCATAATGTTTTAAAGGTTTATCCTTGTTGTAGCATGTATTAGTTCATTTCGTTTTGTGGTTGAGTAACATTCCATTGTACGCATGTACCACCTTTTATTTATCCAGCCATCTGCTGACAGACATTCAGGCTTCAAAGAACTAAGTTCTGGTTTCATTAATTTTCTCTATTGTTTTTTCACTTTTCTATTTCATTCATTTCTACTTTGATCTTTGTTAATTTCTTTCCTTTGCTTACTTTGGTTTTGATTTGCTCTTTTTTTTCTAGTTCTTCAAAATGGAAGTTGGTATCATGGACTTGAGGCCCTTCTTTTCTAATATAGGAATTTAGTGCTATAAATTTCCACTTAAGTTCTAATGTAGGAGCATCCTGCAAATTCTGTTATGCTGAATTTTCACTCAGTTCAAAATGCTTTAGAATAGCCTCTATGATCTATGGTTTATTTAGAAGTGTGTAATTTAGTTTCCAAATACTTGGGTTTTTTTCCAGAGATCTTTCTGCTATTAATTTGTAATTGAATTCCACTGTAGTCTTAGAACACATTGGAATCCTTTCAAATTTTTAGAGACTTTCTTTTTTTTTCTAATATGGTCTATTTTAGTAAATGTTCCAAGTGCACTTAACAAGAATGTGTTCCATTGTTATTGAGTATACTGTTCTATAAATGTCAGTCAGGTCAAGTTGGTTGATAGTGTTGTTCAGGTCTACTATATCTTTGCTGATATTCTGCTTTCTTTTCTATCAATTATTGAGAGATGGTATTGACATTTCTGGTCATAATTGTCTGTCTATTTCTCCTTGCAATTCTATCAGTTTTTGCTTTATGTATTTTGAAGTTCTATTATTAGGTACATACAAGTTTGGAATTTTTATGTCCTCTTAATTAACTGATCCATTTCTTCTTCATTATGAAATCAACTTCTTCTTCCCCAAACCCAAACCAAACCAAATCCACTGCTGTTGAGTCAATTCCAACTCATAAAGATCCCCATTGGATTTCCAAGGCAGTAAATCTTTACGGAAGTAAACTGCCCAGTCTTGCTTCCATGGAGTGACTGGTGGATTTAAACCACCAACCTTCTGGTTAGCAGTCAAATACCTTAATCAACAGAGCTCCTTTTCTTTACCCTCCAGTATCCATTAATTTTTATTCTGCAATGTCTAACCTGTCATTCAAACCCACCAGTTGCTCCATGGGAAGAAGATGAGGCAATCTATTTCTGAAAAGATTTACAGCCTTGGAAACCCAATGAGGGTTGCTATGAGTCAGAATCAACTCGATGGCAGTGGGTTTTGTTTTGTTTTTTAATTTGCTATTAATCCCATCAGTGCTTAGTTCAACCCAGATTGTAGAGTTCACTTCTAGAAGTTTCATAGAAGGTTTTCAAATATCTTCCATGTCTCTATTTAACTTTATGAATATATGGAATACAGTTATAATAATTATTTTAAAGACCTTGTCTATTAATTCAAGCATTTATGTCAGTTCTGGATAGGTTTTGATTGATTCATTATTCTGCTCATCATGGAGTCATGTTTCCCTGCCTCTTCATATGCCGAGGAATGTTTGGTTGTGAATTTTACCTTATTGGGTTCTGAATATTTTTTTTTTTCTATAAATTGTTTCAGTTTTCCTATACAATGTATTACTCCACCACTTTCTCCAACTCGCTAGTCTGTTCTTCATCTCCAACAAATATTCTACCATTATTTTCTCTAATTTGTACTCTTCTTTACTGGTTCACTGTTGGAAGAAAAATAGGAAGTATTTGAGGAGTAACAAAAGCCCGAGACTAGTGTTTTTAAACTAGTGACATTTTGGGCTAGTTAGTTCTTTCTTGTCCATGCTGCCTTGTGCACTGCAGAACTTTTAGCAGCATCACTGGCCTCTACCCACGAGATTCCTAGAAACCCCTCCTCCTAGTTTTGACAACGAAAACTGTCTCCAGATCTTGCCAAATGTTCCTTGGGGGACAAAATCACACTTGATTGAAAACTATTATCCTAGATAGACTTTCCTTTGCCAGTTGAGGAAGCAACATGGTAACCTGATGAATATTCCTCTATATTGACTATTCTCTGGGTAAAAAATAATGAGACAAAAAGATTCAGACTATCTTTGGTACTGTTTAGAATGCATATGACCAACAAAAGTAAGATAGAGTAACACTTTAAGAAACAATGACACTGGGCCCAAGATGAATTCATTTTGTCACAGTAACACAAGAATGTTTGTTTTGATATTTTGCTGAGGTACATTTATTCAGTGCCACTAAAATGACCAGCCAGGGGGATACAGAATACAGTAATTAAGTGTTATTAAATAGTATTTAATTCATTTTTACAAACAAAATATAGTATTTAAATTAAAATAAATAAACAGACTGAAGCTAAAAATAGGAAGGAGGGAAGGATGGGGAAGAAAAGGAAGGCAAGGGAGGGCAGAAATCACATGAAGAGTGTAAGAAACTACACCTCTTGGGGATGAGAAAGAAAAGGGATAAGAACTCTGGGATGGCACCCACCTGTGGTTGACACGACGTTCTCAGGGCTTTCACTGCACAGCTTTGACAACAGACTGGTCTTGCCAGAACCGGTGAGGCCTATGCAAACCAGGTCATATTCTGGTCGTGCAGGTGGTGGTCCCTTGCAGCAGAGTGCTCTAAAACACTGCCAAGAGAGGAAGGGAAGAAAAAAAAGCTCCTTTAAAGAAGACTATAGAAACAACCTTAGTAACATTTCAAATGGTTAAATAAATATTAATAAGTAATTAACTTATTAATTATGAAGAGAAAAATGGAAACTTTAAAGTGGGAGACCTGGAGGACATCAACCACCTTAACCAAGTGATCAATGTTAACACCACCGGGCATGAGACATATCAGGACTCCATGGGCCACCTCACCTGCTGGGACAAGTGTACTGCTAGGGGCACAACTTTATGCAGCCTTCCTGCCACAAATGTACAACTCAATCTAAGCATGAGGAAACTTCACACAAAAGGAGGCTGAGAAGAATACTCCAAAACAACTGGCCTGTTCTCCTCTAAAACATCTGTGCCTTAAAATTCCAAAAGACTAAATAGGCATAATAATGAAATGTATCATATCCCGATTGGATACTGAATCAGGAGGAAAAAAATGCAGTAAATGACATTTTGGGACATTCAGTGAAGATTAAATATAGAGAGCACATTAGATAATAGTAAGGCATAATGTTAAGTTTGCTGAAATTAATAATTATATTGTGGTTATATAAGAAAAATAACTATTCATAGAAAATACTAAGTTCAGTAATTAGAGGTGAAGGGTACTGATGTCTGCAGTTAACTGGTTCAGAAAAATTCTAAGTCTCTACCTCTATTTCCTTATCTAAGGAGTCCTTGGGTGACACAGTAGGTTGACATGCTTGGCTGCTACCAAAATGTGGGAGGTTCGAGTCCACTCAGAGGCACTTCCAAAGAAAGTCGTGATGATCTAATTCTAAAAAAATCAGCTATTGAAAACCCTGAAGAGCACAGTTCTACTCAGACACACATGACAGAGTAATCAACTTGACTGCAACTAGTAAATTTCTCTCTGTACCAGGGCAGTGATAAAGGAAATACAACAAAATATTAGTGATTGGTGAAGCCAAGTAAAGAGTATACACAAAAATTCTTCATAATCTCCTATGAATCTCTGAGACAATTTCAAAATAAAAAGTTTTAAAAGTCATTAAGAAGAATCCCTAAATAACCTCACTGCCTCAGGGTCATTATTAAATTCTGTTTCGAGTCACCTTACCTTAAACAAAATTCACTGCCACTGAGTCAGATCTGACTCACAGCGATCTCTCCTTGGGTTTCCGAGGCTGTATTACTATGGAAGTAGATTGCCCAATCTTCCTTCTGAGGAGTGCCTGGTGGGTTTGAACTGCCAGCCTTCTGGTTAGCAGTCAAGTACCTTAGGCACTGTGTTACCAGAGCTCCTCACCTTACCCTATCTCAGGGTACTATGAACTGTTGCATACTTTGTGCACCATAAAAACCTGTTTTCTCTGTGATAGTTAAAGGCAAGGGGATTCAGGAGACAAGATATCATTCATGCACTTTTTGAAATTAGTTTTGATAATTTTTTAATAGGTTCTGAATGTCTATCTCTTCCCTTCCTGCTTCCTTGTTGCATTTGCTAACTTTGGTGATATTATTTAATTGCTACTGTCACCTCCTCACCTTTTATGATCCTTACTCATTTACAAGTGTCTGCCACTTTGTTGTACTGTGGTGTCTTGTGTATTGCTGTGATGCTAGAAACGACTTCAACGGTATTTCAAATACCAGCAGAGTCACCCATGCTGGGCAGGTTTCAATGGAGCTTCCACACTAAGACAGACTAGGAAGAGGGATAGGGCAATCCACTTCTGCAAAAACTGGCCACTGAAAACCTTCTAAATGAATAGCAGTGAAATGCTGTCTGATATGGTGCCAAAAGATGAGCCATTGAGGTTGGAAGGCACTCAAAATATGACTGGGGAAGGATTAGAGTCTACCTTAATCATGTGGATAGAGTAAATCTCTCAGAGCCTTCATTTGCTGATAGGGCATGACTCAAAATGGGAAGAAACAACTGCAAATATCCATTAAAACACTAGAAACATGGAATGTATGAAGCATGAATCTAGGAAACTGAAAGCGAATGCATAGAGATCAATATCTAGGCATGTGTGAGCTGAAATCAATGGTTACTGGTCATTTTGAATTAGATAATCATATGGCCTACTATACTGGGAATGAAAAATTAAAGAGAAATGGCATCACGTTCATCATCAAAAAGAACATTTCAAGATCTACCCTGAAGTACAACATTGTCAGTGATAGGATAATAGCCATATACCTCTATCTTAGTTCTCTAGTGCTGCTGCAAAAGACATGCAAAAGTGCATGGCTTTAATAAATAGGAATTTATTCTCTTACACTTTAGGATACAAGAAGTTCAAATTCAGAATGCCAACTCTAGGGGCTCTGCATCTTATGCCAGGCCCACTAGAGCTGAAAGCTTTTTCTGACTCACGCAGCTGCTGACCGCTGAGGCTGACAAACCCAAGGCTGACAACTGAAATGACACAGTCCCAAGATTAGCAGGCAACACAGCATGCCACTGCTATAAGGTCTCAGCCAAATGCAGGATCCAAATGTGTCTAAAGCTAAAGACCTTTTGCAAACCTTCTCCTTATACACTAGAAGCAGGCCATACTCTGAAGGCAACAACTTAGCTGCTTACAGCAGATTCTACCACAGAGGTGATTAAAATCTCATCATGGGGAGTAACAACATCTAGCTGCCAAGCACTCAAAACCACAGTCCAGCCAAGTTGACACACAACCTTAACTAACACAGCCTCCAAGGAAGACCAGTTAATACTATTATTCAAATTGACACAACAGCTACTAAAGCCAAAGCTGAAGATTTTTTTTTTTACCTACTTCTGCAGTCTGAGAAATGACCAAATATGCAATCAAGATGTATGGATAACTACTGGTGACTGGAATGTGGAAGGTGAAAGCATTAGTAGTTGGAAAATATGGCCTTGGTGAAAGAAATGATGCCAGAAATCACATGATAGAATTCTGCAAGACCAACTACTTATTCATTGCAAATACCTTTTTTCAACCATATAAATGGCAAATCTACACATAGATCTCACAAGACAGAGTTCAAAATCCTAAGTTGGAACAAGGCCAGGAGCTAACTGTGGAATGGACCATCAATTGCTCACATGCAAGTTCAAGTTAAAGCTGAAGAAAATTAAAACAAGTCCACAAGAGCCAAAATATAACCTTGATTATATTCTACCTGAACTCAGAGGCCATCTGAAGAATAGATGTAATACACTGAACACCAATGATAAAAGACCAGATTGAGCTGTGGGACGACATCAAGAACATCATTCATGAAGAAAGCAAAAAAGATCATTGAAAAGACAAGAAAGGAAGAAAAGACCAAAATGGATGTCAGAAGAGACTCTGAAACTTACTCTTGAATGGAGAGTAGCTAAAGGGAATGGAAGAAATGATGAAATAAAAGAGCTGAACAGAAAATTTCTAAGGGCAGCTAGAGAAGACAAAGTAAAGTATAACGAAATGTGCAAAGACCTGGAATTAGGAAACCAAAAGGGAAGAGCATGCTCAGTATTTCTCAAGCTGTAAGAACTGAAGCCAAAATTCAAGCCTTGAGTTGCCATATTGAAGGAATCTATGGGCAAAATATTGAACAATGCAGGTAGCATCAAAAGAAGATGGAAGGAATACAGAGTTACGGTTATCAAAAAGAACTGGTAGAGATACAACCATTTCAAGAGGTAGCATATAACCAAGCATCAATGGTCTTATTGAGGGAAGAAGTCCCAGCTGCACTGAAGGAACTGGTGAAAAACAGGGCTCCAGGAATTAACAGACTACCCATTAGGATGTTTCAACAAACAGATGCAGGACTGAAGGCACTCATTTGTTCGTGTCAAGGTATTTGAAAGACAGCTACCTGGCCAAACAACTGGAAGAGATCCCTATTTGTGACCATTCCAAGGGGTTTAAAATCAAGAAAGTTGTACATCTGGGTAGTATCCTTTCACTGTACTTATTCAATCTGTATGCTGAGCAAATAATCTGAGAAACTGGACTATATGGAGGAGAACACAGCATTAGGATTGGAGGAGGACTCATAAACAACTTGTGATATGCAGATGATACAACCTTGCTTGCTGAAAGTGAAGATGACTTGAAGCACTTGCTGTCAGAGATCAAAGATAATAGCTTTCAGTATGGATTACACCTCTGTATAAAGAAAATCAAAATCCTCACTACTGTACCAACAAGCAACATTAAGATAAATGGAGAGAAGATTGAAGCATCAGGGATTTCATTTTACTTGGATACACAATCAATACTCAATATAGTCAAGAAATCAGATAATTCCAGTGTTCTGGAATTTCCATTCTTCACAATGTTATCCATAATGTATTATGATCTACACAGTTGAATGCCTTTGTATAGTCAATAAAACACAGGTAAACATCTTTCTGGTATTCTTTGCTTTCAGCCAAGATCCATCTGGCATCAGCAATGATATCCCTCATTCCACACCCTTTTCTGGGTCTGGATTGAATTTCTGGCAGTTCTGGCATATTGCACTGGGCAAGTCTGCTGCAAAAGATTGAAAAAAATTTAAAAAATTTTTAAAGTGTTAAGGAGCCAAGATGTTACTTTGAAGACTAAATTGTGCTTAACCCAAGCCACGGTATGTTCAATAATGTCATATGCATGTGAGAGCTGGGCAGTGAATAAGGAAGACTGCAGAAGAATTAATCCCTTTGAATTGTGGTGTTGGTGAAGAGTCCTTAAAACACCATTTACTGCCAGAACAACAAACAAATGTGTCTTAGAAGTACAGCCAGAATGCTCCCGAAACACAAGGATGCCCAGACTTTGTCTCATTTACTTTGGTCATGTTGTCATGAAGAACCAGTCTCTGTAGAAGGACATCATGCTTGGTAAAGTAGAGAGGGTCAGTGAAAAAGATGACCTTCAACAAGGTAGATTGACACAGTGGCTGTAATGATGGGGTCAAGCATAGTAAAGATTACGAGGAGGGCACGAGACTAGGCAGTGTTCTGTTCTGTTACAGAGTCACTATG